TTAATACCTTAACTTAATGAACCACTAAATAACCTTAATGATTTATTAATTTTTTAATTACGTACTAAATCTAAATTCAACAAGTATATATTACTTTTTTTAATAGGACTTATTTTTTTAATTACTAAGCATTTACAATATTTTTAATAACTTAATTTTTTATCTATTGAATATAATTTCGAAAAAACTTAAATCTTTTCTTCTTAATTAATATTGTAATTACTTAACTATTTAATTTAATGAACTACTAAATAAGCTTAATTACTAATAAAATATGAATTTACTAAATAAATTTATATTACAATCCAATTAATATTTAATTTATTAATTATATTTGTAATTACTTAATCAACACCTTAACTTAATGAACCACTAAATAACCTTAATCACTTATTAATTTTTTTAATAACATACTAAATCTATATTCAACAAGTATATATTAATTGTTTTTTATACAACTTATTTTTTTAATTACTAAGCATTTAAAATATTTCTAATAACTTAATTTTTTATCTATTGAATATAATTTTGAAAAAAATTAATTTTTTTCTTAATTAATATTGTAATTAATTAACTATTTAATTTAATGAACAACTAAATAAGCTTAATTACTAATAAAATATAAATTTAATAAATAAATTTATATTACAATCTAATTAATATTTAATTTATTAATTATATTTGTAATTACTTAATCAACACCTTAACTTAATGAACCACGAAATAACCTTAATCACTTATTAATTTTTTTAATAACGTACTAAATCTATATTCAACAAGTATATATTAATTGTTTTTATACAACTTATTTTTTTTAATTACTAAGCATTTAAAATATTTCTAATAACTTAATTTTTTATATATTAAATTTTTTTATACAACTTATTTTTTTAATTACTAAGCATTTAAAATATTTCTAATAACTTAATTTTTTATCTATTGAATATAATTTCAAAAAACTTAATTTTTTCTTCTTAATTAATATTGTAATTACTTAACTATTTAACTTAATGAACAACTAAATAAGCTTAATTACTAACAAATTTAAAATTTACTAAATAAAAATATATTACAATTTAATTAATATTTAATTGATTGATTAATTTCGTAATTACTTAATTAATACCTTAACTTAATGAACCACTAAATAACCTTAATCACTTATTAATTTTTTAATCACTTAATCACAATAAGTTAACTAAATTAGCAATTACCAATAACACTAATAAGAATAATAATTAAATTAACAACATAAAATAATAACAATTAAATTTTCTAACTAAAAAAATTAACAATTAAACTAAATAAATTCACAATTAACAATCAAATTAATTCAATCAAAAATTAAAAATAACAATAACAATAAAATTAACAATTAACAATAACATTCAATAAATCAATAATTAACAATTACATTAACAAAATAATTAACAATTAATATTAAATTAACAATTAAACATTTAAATTAACTATCACAATTAAAACTAATTAATACCAATACATTTTTTTAAACAAATAAACTATCTAAATTAACACATTACAATAATATTAATTAAATCATCAATTAATAAAAAAAACACATGCAATAAAAAATTGTAACTAATTAAACTAAATTTAATTGTTAATTTTTAATTAAATTATATTAATTAACTAAATAACTAAAAAAATTAAAAAATAAAATGAGGGATTAGATGGGGGTGGACCTTTCACCAAGAGAAGGAGGAGAGGGGGTTGCGTCGATGGAAGCCTTCGTCGGAGATGTTTGGTCGGAAAACAACCTAGGTGGAGAGATGGAGAGAAAGAAATAAAGGAGGAGGAAAAGAGGGAAGAAAGAGGGATTTTTGGAGGGGAGAAATGGTAGGAGGAAAGAGAGGAGAAGATTGGACGGAGAAAATGGCAAAGGAAGCAGATTTGAGGTGCTTGTCAAAGGAGAAGAAGAGAGGAGATGGAGAGAGAATTGAAATTGCCAATTCTTGGGGGAGAAGGCAGATTTTAAAAGGTAAAGGTTTAGCGACGGTCTATCGTTCGTCGCTAAACCGTCGCTAATAGTGTTTTTAAAATAAAAATTTTAAAAATTAGTCGTTTCCCATCAATGATTTGATTTTACCAACGAATTATGGACGATCTTCGGACTATCGCTAATATAATTTTTTGCAACGGTTATTTTTGGAAAAACCATTGCAAAAATTAGGTTTAATATTTTTTTTATTTTCTATTTTTTTTTAGCAAGAGTTTAGCAATGGTCCAGGACCGTTGCTAACCTAGTTATTTTGCAACAGCTTTTTATTAAAAAGTCGTTGCTAATCGAAAATTTTATGTTGCAATTCTTAGCGACAGTCCATAGATCGATCGCTAAATCAAATTTTTTTTTTACAATGGTTTTTTATTAAAAATCCGTTGCTAATCTTTTTTTTTTTTTTTTTAGAAACGGTTTAGCGACAGATCCTAGGACCATCGCTAGATCGAATTGTTTTTTGCAATGGTTTTTTATTAAAAAAGTCATTGCTAATCATCCTTTTTTTGTGAGGTTATGTCATCTTAGCAATCGTTTAGTGACGATTCCTTGACCGTTGCTAAACTTGCAATGGTTTTTCTCATAAAAACCGTCACAAAAACGGTCCGCATGTAGAAAAATAATTAAACCCATGAAGTTAGCGATGGTTTTGTTAGATCATTGCAAAAAAATGGTTGCAAATAGGAATTTTAGTATCCATTTTTTGGATTGTCGCTAAATCGCTTAAAACTATTGCAAATTTTTAAAATTAGTAATGGGTTTATGATCGTCGCTAATCTGTCTTTTTGTTGTAGTGTAACAAATTACTTACTCAAACTTTTATCCTAATTTATCAACACCCAATCCTAATTAATTCAAAACAATTCGATAAATTAAAAATATACTCAATTAAATTTTAAATAACATAACTTGAGTTTCTTAGCATATTTACTAATAATTACTTACATATATACAAATGGGTAAAATTTCAAACACCCTAAAAATAGCAAAATTGAAAGTAATACACAAAATCCACACAAATTAAATATAAAATATGAATTAGTAGAAAGAAATATATTTAATTGGGCTTTCTTTCGATAGAGAAAGAGAGAGAGAGGAAGTCACGATTGTTTTGGGAGAGGAGATAGTTGGAGTGGTTGGGAATTGATGGAGAGTTGAGGAGTGGGATTTGTGAGGTGTTTTGGGGGGTGTTACAAGAAGCAACGATGCTCGGGAGGTGGTCGTAGCTAAAGGAGGAGAGGGAGAAGGAAGAAGAAAATGGAAAGAAAGAGGATTCTGCTAATTTGAGGATTTAATTTTAGCCACGGACATGATATCGTTTTTAAACAATGATGGACATAAGTGTCCATTACCGATTTTGAATTTTAACTAATCGATTGCTTCTTTTTACCAAAAATAACGACGAACATGATCTCGTTTCGTTATTAGTAAAGTTAGCAACGAATGTGATTAGCAACAACATAAAGGAATTTGGCATGGAATATTTCCTCGTTAACCATACCGAAAAAAGAAAAAAAACCCAAAAACAATGACGGATTGGATAATTTGTGGCTAATTGTCCTCGTAATTTCGTTGCTAAAATGACTCGTGAATATTTTATCTTCTTATTTCACGACGGATCACATCATTTGTTGACTATCCATCGCAAATTGATCAATAGTTTGTCACTAACACCCAAATCTCGATGGCGATCGTAAATCGGTCGCTAATCTATCACTAATGTCCGTTGCTAAATTACAGATTTTTTGTAGTGTAATTCTTGTGTCTTTCATCAACAAATATAAAAGCCTAAATTATTAAAATAGACTATAAAACTCTTTTTCTTTGAAGGTACCGACTATTTTTTAAAAAATTGATTGAGTACTTAATTAATCATAATAAAAAAATATGTATTTTATTAATTCTGCTGCGCTTATATACTTATACATATTTAATTTATGTTATCGTAAATCCTAAATGGCTAATTGTAGCTACCTTGAGGGCTAACTTAGTCAAATAATAGTTGTCTTGGAAAAGCTCTTCTAAGTAGTATTGCATTTAAGTCGTGTTTGGTAGTATGAGATGCTCTTTTGACTGTCATTTTTTTCTAAATTTATATTCTGCTGCTGCAGCAGAGTCATATTTTATTGCTATCTTTGATGAATCGAATCAAATCGAGCAAGGCTACTCTGTTTTGTTTATCTTTTTCCTTTAGTCGCTGTGTTTTTTTTTTTTCATCTTTTCTGTTATTTCTTGTTTATTATCAGCTTCATCAATCATCAGATAGTACGAAAATGGAGAACCATTTACCAACTTTTCTAGCAGCCTATAATGGTCCATATTTACTGATTCATTCCTTATTTCATCTTCTTTTCTTTTCTTCCATCCTTTTGCTTTCTCTTTGCAGTTTTGTTCATTTTTATGTCAAAAACTTGAAACATTTAAATAATTTCGGTGTACTATCGAATAAAAATGTTCCACTTTTGCCAATTTCAATTTTCGTCAAAATAGAATCAATTAAAAGACTCATCGGCACATCTCATGACTTATTCAATTAAAAATCATGCAAAACAATCAAAATAGGACCAAAACCCTTTAATTATTCAATTCCTTTTGTGTTCTAAACATTAAGTCTAACTAATGAAGAACTTTATTTCGTTAATTGTATTCTAAACATTTGTATTTCTTTTCTTAAGATGACACTGACAAGACTTTACCTTCTCCTTTACATTTTAAGAGTGAATATATATCAAAAGACATTTCACATTTGGGATAAGAATTCTTTCCATCAATCAAATTTGAGTTTGGGAAATGGGGTGATTCCAAGAACTTTCGCTCTTTTCACCTCTTTTTTTTTTTTTTTACCCTTTTCATAATTCATATGCCTAGGTCAAGTCACTTCTATAAAGATAGTTGATTTTGAAGAAAGGTACTAAAGAGAGAGTTGATTTTATTAGGAGAGATAAAGGGGAAAGGAATTGGTTGTTCGACTTTTGTGCCTTTTGACACTTTCCTTGTCAAAGCACTTTCCTTGTGGTTGGGAGGCAGATGGTTCGTGGTAAAAATTAAAATCCTTTTTTAAAAAAAAAAATTATGTGCTAATTTGAGGTGTATTTAGAGTAAAAGCATTACATAGTAATTTACAAAAAAATTCTTTCCATGTAAACTATAGGAGTTCCAATGACAAAATCATTAGTGCTAAATAGAAGTTCCAAGCTGGCGAATTGCTGACTTGTTTTTTTATTCCTCTCTGTGTTTTATTTTCTACTAGCATTTTCCAGTCATGTTTTTGGGGATTTTGAAATGCATATCTAGCCATATTCATATTGAGTATGTTTTTTAATTTCTCTACTGTCGATCAATAATCTTTATGATCTCATCTAAATAGAAGTTCAAGTTTACCAGCCTGCCATTTATTTTTTTATTCCTTTTAAAACTATGATGGAACTTTAAGTATTCAGATCCTGATCTCTATATCATAAATCATATTTTATCGCCTTGCTACTCATTGCTGGTAGAATTTATTGCAAACAATTAAGTCGATTTTTTATTTTAGTTTTTAACAGTCACATATGAAAATTAAAAAAATAAAAATAATTGAAAAGTCGTCAAAAAAATTACAAAAAAAATGATTTGATATGGAAGTTTAACTCGGGTATTTTTTTTCTTTTGAATTTTTTTTAATTGATGAAGCAATACGTGAATTTTGACGGACATAACAAAGCAGAAGACTTCAATTTGCATTTTGTCAAAAGAAAGACGATGCCAATCATTTAAAAAAGAAAATTAAAAGATGTTTACTTATAATAATAATCATCTCAATTGGCATTTTTTAAGACATATAGTTTGTTCTCATACATGCGTACATATCAAATATATATATGTTTTTATTCCACAATAATATTCTTGAATATGAGCAAAATAATTTTTTTTAAAAAAAAACAATCTTAAAAGCACATTCTTGCTTTAATCATGTGCATTTAAAAGAAATAAATTTTTATGAATACTATATGAAAAGTTGGAATTGGCAGCACATTTTCCTGAGTAAGACGCCAAGATCTCTTGAGGTTAGGCTTAATATATACGTGTTTAATTAGTGGACAAATATAGAGAGAGAGAGAGAGAGTGATTGGCCGGAATTGGAAGGTGGAAGAGGTGAGGTAAGGTCTTGTCATGATGATATATCTTCTGTATTAATTTGTAGAACGCATGAAGAGGGAAATCTCAAAAGCATCTCCAGCATTGATGTTGGCAACGAGAAAATGTTATGTCACTACTGACTCACTGGCCTTTCTTTCTCTCTCCTCTCCTCCCCCTGCTTCTCTGCTGTTTCTGCTTCTACTGACCCAGACGCAGGCAACAGCTCTTTTCCATTACTTTTTCTCCTATATTTTCTACTAAGATTTAATTTCCACTAACTCTATATGCATACATATAAACATATGTATGTTTGACATGACAGCCCAATCCAGACATTTTTAAAGTCATAAAGCAAGCAGATATTACAGATATATATATATACACACACTTACGGAGACCTAAATGCCCCACACACACATCACCATATGAATCCAAAATACCAACTGCAAGATTTGACATATCAGATTCTGTACTCTTAACCCCGTCCCAACAGACAAACCTTCTAGCCCAGCTCACATTTACATTGCAAAGTAACAGTAACCCTAGTTACCACCCCTTCTCTCTCTTTCTCTTTTTCTCTGTGGGCATGATGGCATTTGTGCTTTTGTAATACGTTTACACTATGGCCGGGATTCATGCTCTTTAGCTACAGAAAGATGGGTATGTTGCAGAATTCACAGTCGACTTTTTTCCTTGTCCATTCTTTTTATTATTAGAAAGGAAAAAATTGAGGCGATGTAAATGCTGGACCCACCAGCATTAGAACCCATATCAACGGTGGAAAGTTATTGATCACAAGCCATCGGATTATTAAGCTGTGATGATCTCATGGTAGCTACAGCTAGATAGGGTTTTAATCACGTCAGCGTGACATTGCAGGCAAACTTGAAAAAGAAAAGGAAAAAAAAACAATAACAGTAGTACCTAGTACTAGACTAGTACTGTATAGTTTTGCTTTTAGCTAGGAAAGAGAACCCTATTGTCGAGTGGGTTTGATAAAGTTAACTATTGAATGTAATAAATTACATTGCTTAAGATTATGTTAATCTCTACCTAGTACGGAAAGGGGGGTACTGACAGGTAAACTTAACCTACCCTAAAAGAGGTGCAAAATTCTAGAGCGGTTGATAGGAAATCTAGGGTTTCTTGTCATTGCCTGCAGCTAAGTATATTTCAATATTTCTTTCTCTTGTTCTTTTCTTTGTTGGCAAATAATGAAGAAAGCATAATATGCCAATTTAGCTAGGTTATATGCATAAAAAAGCGCAGTGACATGCGGAATGATCAAGTTGGAGAATATATATAGATATATATGAAATGGTTGGGGGCACAGCCTTAGACTTACACAAAAGTGTGCTTCAGAATCCCAAGGTGGTATGTCTTGTTATCTCTGCATGTTTTTCGTCCCATCAATTTTGGTGTCTGCTTATAGTTTGGTTCTCATCTTTTGATGACTAACAATATTGTTGCTCCTTATCTTTTTTTTTTAAAAAAAGAGAATACATCTACTGTTTTTATTCGAAGTAGATTGATTCTTTTGGCAAGAGGATAATAGCATGTTTCAAATGCTTATAATCAAATTGCCTATTTCTCTCTAAAATTTCTTGGGATATATAGAGGTAGCTAGTGGTGTACTATATATAAAAGCTAGCGTCCATACAAGAAATCCAGAACTCATAATGGTTTGAACTTACGGTTCTTTGATGAGTGGAACGCTAAATCATGGAATGTCATATATATTGGTGAAGTGGTCCTTTCTAGCTAACAAATAAGACGAACGTGGCTGTCCATTTTGTACTCTTGAGAGAGAGGAGAGAAAAGAAATATGGTACCAGATGAAACAAAAGCACAGTTCTATTTTTATAGAATGTTACTGAATTTATAATAGAATTTCAATTTATATAAATGCAGTCATAATCACCAGAATAGCAGTCACTTCATAAAGTGTTAGGAGAGAATTAATTAAGAGCATGAAATTAACACACATAATTTGCAAGCAGTGAGTCTTTTCAAGAGGGGGGGCCTTCCTATTTTGTTAGGAGACTTCGACGTACGTCAAACCTCTTTTATACAATAATCTTCGATATTCGAGTAATTATTATTATTAATTAATACATAGAAAAACAGATATATATATATATATATAGATATCCTTCTACTCACAGGGTACCATTGATCTCGTACAATTCATTAGTTTTTTGAGTGCCCTCTCCTGCAAATGACTGGTGGTCTAATTTAGCATGCTTGTTGCTATCCAGCTTCAGTCCAAAGTGAATGTGAGGAAAATGTGCCCACTGCAAAATAAATAAATATACATTCTATTAATTTTTTTATTATAGGTCCAGCTGACAGGTGTTCTAAATTAATGAGACTTTCTTGAAAATTTTTTATTTTTTTCATTTGACTGGAAAGAGTATCCTCGGATTAAGATATTCATTAAGAAATTAGTCAGCGAGAATAAAATATTGTTTTGATTAGACAATATCTAGTCCTATCCAATTAAATCTTAAATTCAATATATATATATATATATAAAAGCATTGTCTATCTTTCTATTTATATGAGTTATAAAATACTTATGTGGTCAAAATTTTAAATGGTGAACTTGGTTAAAATACTTCTAATCAATTTTGGCTCTATATCATTTAGGATTAAATTTGATGATTAATACTTTAAAAAATATATATATATATATATATATATATATATATATGAACAAAAGATGCTCATATAATATAAAAATTAATAATTTTTTTTAATTTATATGAAAAGTCAAATAATACAAATCTATTTGAGACGGAGAAAATATTTTTATCAAAGATCCAATGGCGCAAAATCATGAGTAGATAATACGTGGTAAATGGATAAAAAATAGATTTAATTGTCACAAGATTTAATTACCATTAAAAAAAAACGCATCTTAATGCAGCAATTTAAATTTTATGTTACAGAATAGGGTTGAATTTTTAGTAGGAGAAAACAGTTGAGTTTTAAGCATACAAAAATGTTTAATTAAGGTATTCTACACTCGTTTGAAGAGAGAACTTAGTATCTTTCGAAAGATATTTTTTTACCATCAAACAAACAAAAATATTATTCTAATATAATTGTTTTATAGAGTTATATTATAAATAAATAAAAAATCAACTATTGGATGGATATTTCAAGCATTAAATAACTGAATTTAGTTAGTAATTCTTATAAATCCAATGATTATTTTTTTTAGTAAGTAAATTCTATAAAATAATTATGCAACAATAACATTACTTATATATATATATATATATATATATATATTCAACTAGACATTGCACAATTTCATTAAAAAAAATTGTATATATTTCCATGTAAGGCTTGTTATTTAATGACTGATATAAAAATAAAGTTATTAATTTTGGTTCATTGTACATATATATTTGTACCTAAAATATTTCCCATTATATATATAGTTTAGACAGATATGTATGCGATTTAATTTGCAAAGTTCCATAGCCAGGAATAATTTTTGCAACGAACATGCCAACCCTAAAGGCTAAAGATTTGCCTAATTTCTTGAAATTATTATCTTTTTTCTTGCCTACTTTGGGACTTGTTCCAGCTGTAGTATAGTTATAGACGCATCAAATCAAGTTCAAGTCACCTGAAGGTGTCATATCAAATCAAATGGAGATGATTTGATCACATTAATTCGTGATTAGCTAAAAACATATTATTTTCTGTTTTTTTCCCCATCAACTTTTGAAATTATTAGCTCTCTTTTAAAACCTAGTTCAAGTCAACTGAAGGTGTCATATCAAATCAAATGGACATGATTTGACCACATTAATTCATGATTAGCTAAAAATATATTATTTTCTGTTTTTTCCCCCACCAACTTTTAAAATTATTAGCTCTTTGCACCAAGAATATTGTGGACAAATAATAATAAATATAGGTTTTATTACTAATTAATAAGACTTTAACCAAAAGTTCTAGCACCTAAACAGTTGACACTACCCGGTTTACTTATATAAGGGAAAAAAATATTTGGGGTATAATGACGTAGATTTGATGCAAAAATTCTTTGAACCATTATTATGCACTTTTTGGACTTAAACAAAGTTGATCTTCCCAAGCACAAAAAATCAAATAGTTATCCATTCATCATTAATTTTTTACACTATTTATAAAAAGTGTTTTTGGTCCAATACCGAATGGAAAATTGCCAGGGAAGAATGAGAATACAACTAGTATATAAGTAATATTGTTTCTCTCAACTAGCATATTCTTTTTTTTTTTTTTTTACATATATTTAGTCATAAAACGTTCTAATGAAAATTCAAGAATTTATATATTGCTTTATTTTTGAAATGCCAACGGGATTATGTAAAATTTTTTGGGTATTATAAAAATATGATTTTTTTTTCTTGTGATATGAATAATAATTTTCTTAGAAACATATTAATCTATATTTTTAGGGATTATTCAACTATTAGTGATATATAAATACTTTTAAAATACTCTCAACTCTTTTTTTAGTTATAGTACAATATTCCTATATGTTATTTCAATACTAGTAACTAGAATTCTCAAAAAGAATATATATTAGCATTGGTAACATAATTATTTAACTCACTATTTGTTTAAATTTGTATATATCCAATGTGCACAGCTCAACATCCAAACCATTTCACCCCTCTTTCTAATAGATCTCAAATTCAAATATCTTTTTTAACCCAAAAAAAAAAAAAAGTATTTATATCTAATTACTCCTAAAAAATTCAAGCCTTGTCACATAAAGAACCATATGTCTCCTTTTAAAGGTACCACAAAAAATTTTATGGCCTGCTAGCAGGTTTTGATTGCCCAAAAGTTGGTTAAGCTGTTCATATAAAGGGTAATAATTTTTTTTCTTCTTTTTTTCAAATAATATTCTAAATAACAGACCAAAGACACACAACCTATATTGTTTTTTGTAGTTTCTTTGTTTTTTTTTTCAAGAATGATTTGTGATAGCTTTAGTAAGATTACAGGTGTTTATGGAGTATAGCTGGCATTCATCAATTTATTTAAATGCTTGGTTATATGCAAGGTACAAACTCACATTTTTTGCTGCTGTGCTGAAAGCTTCCCTGTGGCTGATGTCAGGATTACTAGCCTTAATCCTTTGAATTTCCTCCCTGCAAAGTGATTTTAAAATTACCTTCTACATTGATTTCAAAATAAAGGCTTAAGCTCAACTCTTATTCTTCATGCATGTGAAGAGAAAAAGGAGGGGATGATGTTCATGAAAAAAAAAAAAAAAGATGAAGAAGAAGAAGAAGAAAATGTCAACTTACTTGATGAACCGGTTATATGCTGAAGGAACTCGTTGTCTCTTCTCTGGGGCTGCATTTTGTTCACAATCGATAGGAAAATAATTAGTTCCTAAACATCATTAACTGCCATTATTTTACTGCTAGTTTTTATATCAATGGTTGATACCTTTATTAAGCAAATAAAAATAAATGAAACCTCACCAAAAATAATATTAGTCATATGAATGTCTTGAAGGATTTTAAGGATTGCAACTGAACTGACTGACTGAATCATTAGCCCTAAAGTACTGACCATAATATAATGACCAAGCAAAGCAGTTCACACCTCACCCAAATAACCATCAGTCTCTCACATTCCATCTGTAAATCTACTTAGGTGCGGTCCAATGTCCACATTCCATGGATTCAAAACCTTAGCTAATTTCTTATATCGAATTAATAGGCAATCTATACTTGAGGATTGTACAATCTTTCATAAAGTGCCAATCCATATTTAGGTCTGTGCAATCAGCTTCATAATAAGGAAGACAGCATGCATATGCCAATGTCAATAGTGACTATTCATTGATTGATTCAATCAAAAAAGTTCTTGGATAGATGTACATTTCTTAATTTCTCTTAAATAATTTATTAATGATTATAAAGAAATTAATAGATATACAACTAAATGACTCGCCATATGTTCTAGGGCAATGTTACTCGTTTAATAGTCAGTTACATTTCTCATGAAAGGTCAACATCCTTGAATGGGCTACGAAAGAAAAGAAAATCATCGGATGGTTGATGGGTTGATTGATCCTGCTAGCTTAATTATTTACTCTTTTCCAGCTTTGTGGAGCCACTTGATAATCAACATTTCCAAGTTCATTCACACGTACGTACAATGTCTACTACCCAAGAACTTAAACACATGCAAAGACTTGTAATTCAACCAGCTTTATTATCTCTCCTGTTTTTAAGATTGATTTCGAGTTGGAAAATGTATCCAGCTGTGTGTGTGCGTGCGCGCGTGTGTGTGTGTTTGTGAGAGAGAGAGAGAGAGAGAGAGAGAGACTCACGGCGGATGGGAGGCATTCTAGGTGGTTCAAGCTCAGCAGACTCAAAAGCAGTGACATTGTTAGATTTGGAAGATGACCCACTGTCCTTGTTCGAATCTTCAGAGTTAATAAGTTGCAGTTTCTGTAACTTTGAACAAGCAAATTAGAGAAGTACACCGAGAAACATTTTCTTACCAAGAAAGAAAGCCTATGATGGCATTTACAAGTCTAAATATATCACAATAGCTTAGCGGCAAAAGGATTTTTAAGTTTTTTACAGCCAACAGTCACACACAAAAACCAAAAAAATATATATATATATACTATTAGTATAAGAAAAAAAACATGTCAAATAAAAATGAATGAACAATAATTAGTTGTCTTACATTGTTTTTTGAGAAACATTATAAATTCGAAGAAAAAAAACAACAATACGAAAAGAAGTCATATAAAATAATGCTTGGAATCTTTTTCACTGAAAAATTGTGTCTCTGTTCTCTAAAATTTTCCTTAAATAAATATATTCTTGGACAGAATATAAAGAGTATACAGTTAACCATAAGAATGTCCCTGAAAAGAAAGTCAAAAGAATCTGAAATGATACTCACCTGGGGATCTTGAAGAGGAAATGTTTGTAAGGAAGCCCCCATGTTCACAGACAGCAAATTGCCACAATGTCCACACCTGACTGTCACAATATTCAACAAACTGCTGCTTGGAACACAAACCTACCAAGAAGAATTGTGAAACGTGAAAGGAATGTCTTATTTTGTGAAAATTTTCTCCTCCCCTTTCTTCTCACACACACAAGAAATCAGTTGGATAGATCCAAATGTACATAAAACATTTGCTTCAAATTTTGACAGAACCCTAGCTAGCATAAAAAAAAATGAAGGTTAGGCTAGGTTTTGTTAGTTTGTAATTTGAGCATTTAAGTTAAGGCCACCTCTTTAAAACTAGTTGGAGCATTATTATTGTAATGATCTATAAGAGTCTAGCATGACCTGAATTGATGATATTCAACTAAGGAAAAAAAAAGAAGAAGAAACTAACACATTGCATATACTTACAACCTTAGTACTTTGAGAGCTCTGCAAAAAGTAACTAAAAGACATCTATAAAACATCATATCAAGTCTTGAAATCATCAAAGTAATTTGTTGAAAAGTTCAAGTCTCTCATGCATCTTATCTCAGGAGAAAAAGAAAAGAAGATGAAGAAGAAAAGAAAAGGTTCTCTGATCTGTCATAAAAGAAATGTAGGAGTTAGGACATAAGAAGGGACAAGGAAGAGTAGCGAGGAAAATTTTGAAATGGAACTATTTATAGAGATAAGAGGATAAGGCAAGAAATGTTGGGGTGTAAGTGAGAGAGAAGAGGAGGAGGAGAAGCTGGAGGAGGGAGTAATGAAGCAAGCCATCTTTTCTCTGCAAGAGATCAGTGTATCTTTTTTCATTATTTGAGGAGTATTTAAGGGGCTCGGATCTGCTTGACTGATTCTTTTTTCTATGTAGGGATCAAAGGCACTTGTTACTCAGTTACCACTGATTTCTCAGACACCTCACATGGGTAATAACTATAAGGACTTGCCCTTAATCTTTTCTCTTCTATCTCTCTCTCTCTCCCCTCAATATCTCCTTCTTTTCGGTGCTATACTGACTTGTTTGCCTGACACGGTAGCAAGATGATAAAAGCCAAAAAATTGCCAACACAAAGATTAATTGAGAGAAAAGGAGGGAGGGAGAGGAGATTGAAAAGGACTTGACTGGAACGGAAACCATAAAGACCATGACCAGTAAATTAAACACAGCTATCAAAGATAGCAATGAATAAAGAGATAGAAATGATTTTTACTGAGCTTTGTGTGTAGTGCTTTGGATCTTCATTTCTATAAAAGAGGTTGGGGAGAAGGAGAGAGAGATGGTATCATAGGAGAATGCACTTCAAAAGGGTTGTTTATCAGAGGCATGCTATGATGAAATGGTTTGAAAAAGAGAGTAAAAGCATTTCTTTGGGCTATGTCTTGGGTTAGCCATGATTCTCTCTGCAGCTCTCCACAAATTCTAGTAGAAACAAAGCACTCCCTTTTGTACTTACAGGGATACATAAACCTGACAATATGCAACATAATTAATCAAAGTGATCATTTCAGTTCCTTGGTATGCAGCAACAGAAGCACCCACCCACCTCCAAGAGAGAGAGAAAAAGAGAGATCTTGAACAATTAACCAGTTCGTTTCCATCCTCAAGAAATTTCTAATGATAAAAGGTCATCAATACTCCGATGAATTAGTATGGCTGGAAATAGTTATCAGGCTTCAATATTAATTCATGAGCAGTAGATTAGTAGCATGAAAATTTGAAACTATCTTTAAAGTTTCTGCAAGGCTAAGAAAAGGCTTCTTTCTGAGTACTGGTACCTGTCAAGTAAGAACCCTAATACCTACCTATAGCCCTAGTAAAAAGACCCAATAACCTTAGCAGCAAAAGACCTTGGGACGCTTTTCTTGAACTTCTTGAAATGTTACTTTCCTAGCTAGCTTCGTCTTCTTATTTGATAGATCGCCAAGGGATTTAAATCATATGGGTTTTGATGAATTCTCTCGTCCTCTCTAACTACTGAGTTTTCGAAATCATAAGTCTGAAAAAGACTCATAATGATGCACAAGAATTCTCTCACAGGTTTCAAGACCCAAGAGATGATTTTGCAGGCTTCAGTGGCAAGACCCAGATAGAATTTGTCATAACATATGACATATGAGAGAGAATTGTTAGCTATTTCAAAGTAAAACCAAGAAAATTCTTTGATCCATGATGGTTCAGAGGAAATCATACCAAGAAAAGGACATTTTCTTTTTAAAAAAATGGGTTTGCATTTACATTATTCTTCTATAAACAACATGTTTCTATATTCTCAGCACCAGTCTTTTCAGCTGAATTCCTCTTAGCTAGCTATCCATATAGACCTACAAAACCAAAAACTTTCACCAACAAGAAATTTGCTGATGATTGAACATGATGCTGTCATGACTAATTCAGCTTCGAAGAAGACATATCATCAGGAGACAAGTCTCTCAGATGCTACTAGGTGATGAAAAGAAAAAAGGGGAGAGAATATCCAATATAATATATGAACACACACAGAGAGCGAAAGAGAGAGGGAGAAGGGAAAGAGAGGAGGAGAATTGAGTGAGTGCTGTACCGCTAAAATGATGTTGCAGAAGTTGCAGTGAACATAACAAACACGTTCAGATACCAAGTCCAGAGACATCTTTTTTAGAGAGAACTAATGAAAGCTGTGGATTTGAGTACAGATCAAGGAGAGAATGGAATTCTTTAACCAGAGAGTAGTGAAGACTAAGCAAAGGTACGTAGCATATGTTTGTGTGTGTGTGTATATATATAGATCAAGAATTAAATAAATAAATAAATAAAGAGAGAATTAATTAAAAGAAGAAGAAAAGACTAACTAGGTAAGTAATAATAGAGAGAGAGAAAGAAAACAAGGAATTCGCAAGTGTACAAAAAAATGTGAAAGATGAGATGGGACTAGACTGGTCGGGCAAAATTGAAAACCTGAAATGGTAAGTAAGTGGGGTGTGTTAGTGGTTTCCTTTTGTTTTTGTAATGTATAGTGTTTTTTTTAGAGGGGGAAAGATAAAAGGGTTACGGATTTATGGAGAGAAAAGAGAGAGATTGAAGAAGAATATGCTGTGGGTTAGGAGGGAGGAAGGGAGGGAGGGAAGGACTGATTGCGTGGGTGGGAGTCATCCATCCATTTCTCTAACCATACTTTCTTTCTGTAGCGGACGATGAGGGGGTGAGATATTAATGCTTTTTGGAATGTTTAGGGAAGAGAGAAGATACATAGAATGAATGATAGATATACGGATTCATAGATAAGTCTTGAAAGAGTTTTTATGACAGTGAGAGAGAGAGAGAGAGATCACATAGAGATTTTTTTTTTCTTTTTTTTTTTTTTTTGTCAGAGCTAGAACTTTTTACACCAATGTAGGAAAATGTACTTCAATTCGAGGGGAAAAGGGAGAAAACTAGATATTTTTCTTTGTTTTTTTCTGACTGTTCGGAAATGTTTGAATTTGAGTTGTAAGGTTAATATAATTACGAACTATTTAATATTTTTATTTTATTTTGTATATTCTTTCTTTCTTTCTTTTTTCCCATTGATTTTAACCTTTCAATTGATAACAACATCTCACTTAACATGCATATGACATATAATTCATAAAATACCATGAAATGTTTGTTGCATATTTACAGTACTTTTCCAGCTCGATCATCATTAATTTGTTCATTACTTCATCAATTATGTGGATAGTGAGTTTCAATCAAATTAATTAAGAAGCTCTGCATTTGTATAATTAGTGCTAAAAGGTTGTTTAAAAACTTGGGCACTCTTGCTTTTTGGTGCATTTGGTAGGGAAAAAAACATAGGAAGGTTGGAGTAGATCATAGGCTGCAACCTCAAGAGAAACTTTGGAATTATTAATCCATCTTTATCAAAGCTAGAGGAATTCAAGTTTATATTTGCAATTCAAGTTTTGGGAAAGGCAAATTACTTTACACAAGAAGCACTGATGCCTATTTAGTTGTAAGGAAACAGTATTTTTTTTAAATAAAAAAATAATTTTAGTTTTCAATTTTCATTATTCAATCAGAAACATCAGATCATATGCAGTTGTTAAAAATAAAAAATATAAAATAAAATCCATGTAGAAATGTTAATTAAAGTAATGTCTTTATATAAAAAAAATTTAGTTTTAATTTGTGTTCGTCTTCGATTTTTATTATTCAATCAACAACACGCATCAGATCATATTCAGTTGTTAAAAATGAAAAATGTAAAATAAAATCCAGGTAGAAATGTTAATTAAAGTAATGTCTTTATATGTTCTAATTTTTTTAATACCAAATTGAGAAAATAATTAATATATAGCCATGTCAATTTTATGTCTCATATTAATTTGTCATTATTTCAATATACGACATTTTTGTGTATTATTTTTTATTTTAAAAAATTATTTATAAAAACACTTTTGTAACTAATTGTGAGCATAATTATATAACTCAAAAAGAAAAATTCATTTGTAAATTTGTTAAAATAACTAAATACATTTTATTAACTAAATAACAAAAATATTAAAAACTTAATTTAAAAGTTTACTTGGAGCAAAGTGCGTGTGAGATAAGAAAGGGCTATAAATTAGACAGCTTATTTTCCATTGAAAAATAGTTGATAGCTTATAATAAAAGATGAAAAAGAAACTTAGAATGTTTTCAAATTTCAAAAAAAACTGAAAATAAGGGATTTCAAATTTTTGGGCGGAGAAATATTTTTTTCATAAGAAATTCTATTTTTCCATTTTTCTTAAGATATTTTAGAAATAAATCCTTTTTCATAAAAATATTTTTTCCTGATTGATTAATATCATTTTATCTTAAATAATTAAGAAATGATTTATCCAATTTAAACCCAATCATCTAAGAGAATGGTTTCAGTTGATAAAAAAAAAAAAAAATTATTCGATCTGAAGTTTCAACTTTAAATCAAACTATTGATTTCTTGAAAATTTTGCATTTCTATGTTTGATTAAACCTATTATTGGTGGTAAACTCTAAACTACAGCCCCAACACCTTGGTGCAGTGAAATCCCTCAAAATGTTTTTAGGTCTAGAAGCTACAATTTTCTATATACATTGAATGTTTATTTGTACATCTATTTTAAGCAATAATAATAATTAAAAAAAAATCTTTTTTTTTTTTCCTAAAGAGAGATATGTACACTCAAAATAACAACCTAGTAATTCATGCAAACCATTATTTACATCACAGCAAAAGGCAAAACGATCATTTAAAAGAACTACATTTAATTAAGGACATACTTGTAGGCTTTAAATTATTTTTACCAATTAAGTAAGAAACAAATTATTGGTGAGTGAAGAATTACAATAAAAAATAAGAACACAACAAGCTAATTAAGATAATCAAGAACTTATTATTATGGAGATTAAATGTAAAAGAAATTATCTCAAGAGTAATTTCTTGGGTTAATACCCTTACTCGTCTTTATATAATAGGCTAATTTTTCAATCTATTTCTAAAAATAATGTCTCTAATTTATCCTTATATTTTGATATTGTTTCCAATCTATCATTCTGGTCAAAATTTTCGACCAATTTTTAGAAATTAATCTACAATATTAGTAGATATAGATTACTTGCGTCAAATAACAAAGATAATTTTATCAAATCACATACCATTTGTAAATTATATGCTTAATTTATCTGAAAATTTGACTAAAATGATAGATTAGAAACTAACTCAAAATATAAAAACAAATTAGAGATTTTTTTTTTTAGAGACGAATTGGAAAAATGGTCTATTATCTAAAAACATGTGAGGGTATTAACTATTAATTTAACCATCATGTTTTATACTTTAAACTTGATGTTGAAAGAAAAACCATTAACTTTTATTCGAAATTCCAAATTGACCAAGATAATTGATATGAAATGTGGTTTGTCTGTACACATCCTTCACTTTTTGAATTTGGACGGAAAATTTATGTCTCACACACACACGTATATATGAAAAAAAAAACAAAAAAACAAAAAAAAAAAAAAAAAAAAACAAATTGTGAAAATCTACAAGTTTTCATTGAAAAAAAGTTAATGAAAAACAAAGATAAAAAATATATATATTTATATGACAATTTTTTGCTGAAAATCTACAAATTTTCATTGAAAAAAAAGTTAATGAAAAACAAAGATAAAAAAATATTTATTTGACAATTTTCTTTTGTTAAAATCTACAAATTTTCATTGAAAAAAGGTTAATGAAAAACAATGATAAAAAAAAATTCACTAATATTTTTAAACATATTGCATCTTCTCCTTATCATTCTTTCTTTATGATATAATATTTGAAGTCAAATCGAGAACAAAAGTAGCTTTACGATTGTTGTATTATAAGATATCTTTAATGGAGCTCTTCCTATATCAATTTTTGTTTTTAGGAAAAAATTAAATAAGCAAAGAAATTAAATATTAAGTTAGAACCGACCACCAATGAAAAAGTTTTATTCAGAGATTCCATTAATGACTATCAATGGATTGCAAAATCATAAATCAAAACCTTTGTAAAAGTTTTCAATATTTATATGGGATCGTTGCTCTCTCTTCTTTCCTCTAGAATTCTATGCTAGAAGCTATTATTGGTATCCACTATCATAATTTCGCTAAAAATTTTCATCATTATTTGGTAAAAATTCAGCGCTATATTCAATTAGGACAAGATTAGAGACAATAATATTTTGTCACTATTTTTTTAAGAAATGAATTTTTTTGTCGCTAAATAGTTGAATTTCCATCGCTAAATCGATCTCAATCATTCGTCCATGATGCCTTAGATCAGTCACCAACCATCGCTATTTCAACTTACATCAATTGCTAAATAATAACGGAATGGGTTGTCGCTAAATTATAATCGCTAATATCCTTACAATTCTATTTCTAATTTCGTCGCTATTTAACGACTATATATATATATCCACCATAAATTACCCTCTCTATTCCATCGCTAATTTAAAAAAAAAAAATAAACAACTCGTTTATTGTTAATTGTTGTTGCTACCCAACATCGGACGAAACTTTCAAAAATTTAAGTTATTTACATCGTATTTATGGTTTATTTTGGGAATACGAGTTACATTGAGTTTGGAGTCACAACTTAGCATTGAAAAAATTAAGAACCTAAAAATAGCATTGACCCAAAGATTACGGGATAAGGAGTTGATTACGTTTTTAAAAAGATATTGATCACCAAAAAGCGATCTTTCCTTAAAAAGGTACCACGTCTAGCTTAGTCTTAAAATTCATCTCCTAAGGTGTTTATTTGTGTCAAATTATTTTCCATCTAAACTCCAATTTTCTAACCCAAATTAAGTTTTTTATTTTTAATCATGGCATCGTATTGAACCAATCGTCGGATTGCTTCATAGGAAGACACATCAATTCAAATATCGGATCCATTTTAAGTCTCGAAACAACCGATGTATCGGACAACGTCTTAATTATTAAAATGATGATGCTTTTTTCTACAAACAATAGTCTTTATCAAATAATAGACTTTGTTAAAAATTTTAATTTATTTATTATTTATTATTTTTTTGCTAACAATAGTTCTTATGAGATAAAGGACTTTGTTAAGAATTTTGAATTTTTGTTTTCTTATTTTTTTAATTAACGACGGTCCTTGTAAGATAGGAGACTTCATTAAAAATTTTAATTTTAATAATTTTTTTTTTGTTAACAGTTCCTATCATATAGAATACTTTGTTAAGAATGTTGAATTTTTTGTTTTTTTTTCTTTTAACGACAATCCCTATCGGATATGAGACTTTGTTCAAATTTTTAATTTAATTTTTTTGTATAAAATTCTTCCTTCTTCTTTTTTCCTTTTTTTTTTTTGTATTGTTATTGTTATTTTTATTTTTTATATTGTTTGTTGATGAAGAACCATCATCGATCCTTAAAAATTAAGAAACTCGATAATTCATTCATCGGTTAATTATCGCTCCTAATTAGTTAGAATAAATTCTAAAAATTAAAGTTAACTAAATAAATTCCAAAGCTTCTAAAAATTAAATCTAAATTAATGTAAGAAATAAAAATGCATAAATAAGTAAAAAAATATTCAAATTCAAATTATCTAAAAAAAGTGAAATCAAAGCATAAAAAAAATTTATTAGGCTTTTGGTCCATTAGGCTAGGCCCATTAAGCTAGCCCTTATTCCCTTCGCCTATCTTTCCTCTCTCTTTTTTCTTCTTAATTGGAGTAATTCTAGTTTCATTTTGCCTATCATTATTATTATTATTATTTTGAGGGGCTAGACTAGTTCCAACCTCTTTATGTTTTTTGGTCGGTCGGACTAGTTCTAGCTAGTCTTAATTTTTCCTTTTTTAAATGGGTCTAAGCTGAATTGAAATGAGCCCGACCTTTATGCAACATGAGTAGGGCTTGGCCAAACCCATATTTCTTCTTTCCGGGATTAAGTCCAAAATCATAATCTCAATTCTTTTTTTTTCCATCAAGCGACCCTCTATCCCTCTCCTACTCATCTTTTCTACATCCTTTCATAAGCATAAAACTTTATTTCTTCCCTCTTACCCATAAATCTTAACCATAAGCATTTGTCCTTCTTACAACCTAGCTTCTCTTAGAGTTGAGCAACAAGGGCTCGAACATGGCAATGATTTACATTAAGCAATCCTAGTACATATGAAATGAAAATGGGTAAGAAATTAGTTTCAAAGTACTTGAATGAAATAGAGGGAAAGGATGCTAGATATGGAGATCCCGGTGTTGTTATCATTATTAGCTTACGATTGACAAGAATTTGAAGTATGTAAAAAATTAAGAAACCCAAAAAATGAAGAACTCTAACAAGAATGCTTAATTGTGAAACCTAGAAAAACGAAATGAAAACCAAAAAATTCAAGTTGCCCAAAAACTCAAGATGGAAAAAGATAGAAAAATGAAGAACAATCGCCTAGAAAGTTCGATTGAAAACCCAAAAAATGAAATTGTATCCGAAGCTTGAAGAAACAAACCTTGAAAATGAAGAATACCAAGAACACTACTTAGAAAATTATAGTGGAAAAACTCAAGTCAGTGCCAATTAAAACCCCAAAACTAGAAAATCAAGTTGAATAACCTATGAAATTCGAAATAAAATCCAAAAAAGCCTAAAAATACGAATTAAAGAGTCTAACGAGTTGAAGAACAAAAATCCGGAAATAAAGAACACCAAGGATTTTCCAAAAAAACCTAGAAAATATAGCTATTGGAAAGATAAAAAAAATTTCTATTTCGTTCTTAATTTTCTCCCCCACTAAAAAAATTTCCCTCCTTATTTATAGCCTAATTCTCACTAATTTTATTAAGGATTTGAATTTCATCTCACTCGTTTCTCTCTCCATTCCGTTATAGATTCTAACAAAATCTCCTCAATTGTTGCAATGTGGATTGTGGTTCAAGGGCATCAAATGAGTTATGAAACAAAATTGAAATTGAAAACCATTTCTAATGTTCAATTTCCATTGATTTTGAGTGAAACAGATGAATTGTTCCATTCACTTTTTCATTCATTAAATTACAAAATGGTCCTTAAACTTTTTAAATTATAATTGCATCCTCAATTTTTTTCAATTAGGCCCTTAATTTTGTCTTGATTTGTTTTCAATTTAGCCACTATTAGCTTTTAATTTAGACTTGATTTAATTCAATTATGTCCCTATTAGCTTCCAATTGATTTAATTCAATTATGCCCCTATTAGATTTATCCATCCAATTTTTCAATTTATGTTTCTTTATTTTTTATTTTTTATTTTTTGTTTATTTATATTTTTTTCCTTTTTTAAAAATAATTAATTTTATTTAATTAAGATAATAACACTAAAAAATAATAGAGGAATTAAAATTAATTAATTTTAAGCAATCCAAAATTAAGTTATGATAGTTGCTCCTTTTTTATAATGCTCACAAGTGCGAACTCGACTAAAATGTGAACTTTAGAATAAGTTTGTTTAGTGAGCTTGCAAAGAAACAAATTAGATGAAAAAATTAGTTTTTTTTTGTGGAATTAAAATGTGATATGATAACCTTGTCATCAAGGGTGACTTACCCTAAAAATTAAACATGCAGCAGTGACAACCTTATCATCGAGGGTGACTCGCCTTACAAATTAAATATGTAGTACATGGTCATGCTATCAGAGATGATCTACCCTAAAAATTAAATATGCAATACATGATCATGCTTGTTAAGGCGACATGCCTTAAAAATTAAATATGCAATGATCGCTAGGAAACTTAATGACTACGTAATTAGCATAATTTTTATGCTCTTTTACATTGAACATTCTTGTATTTATTGTATTATATTTAGTAAATTAAGATCAAGATAAAGATTTTAGATTTTGTAGGAAAAATGATGAATTGAAGCAAACAAGCCCAAAACCAAAGCAAGGGGAAGCAAAAGTCACTAAGAAAGCTTAGGATTCACACGGTCGTGTGTGATACAAGAAGAAATAAATACCAACCATGTGAACCAAAGAAGAAAATCTTGTGGATGTCCAACATGATTAACTTAGACTTTTCAAACTTCTTATAGGTTTTCCAAAGCCTTAGAATTGGATTTGAAAGAAGTGGATTCAAAGACTTTGTAGAGGAAATCTCAATCTTTCTAGAGTGATATAATATATCAAAATCCAAATTTTTTTAGGCCTTTAGAAAATATTTTATATTCTAATCTAGAAAATTGATCTAAATCCTTTTTGGAGTCTAGAACAATTGTGGATCTTAGTTCATATTTAGAGTTTCAAAACTTTAATTGATGCAAGGCTAAGCCCATGGAATACTAAAAAGGCATACCTATAAGTCTTATGAGGGTCTTAAGTCTAAAATTAGTCACTATCATAGAAGAATTCAACCACAAAGTGGAATCTTGAGGTCTGGACGGATAGGTTGAGTCGGTGTCAATATTTAGCTCATAAATGAAGCTATAGATATCCAATTGATGTAAGCTATAATCATATGGAAAGATAAGAAATAGGGATACAACATTTATAAATAACACAAACTTTAATTTGGTATGTATCAAGTTCATTCGAGGTGATTAGTTAAAGATACATGGGTGGTAAGGTAGTGACACATGATGAAGTGTAAATTCCATATGACTAGAAGTTTGGGACACGGGATGAAGAGACAAAATCACATGGGCGTAGCTAGAGATACGAGATGAAACAACAAAAAGACATGCGATGAAGTGCAAAATGCACACGATCATGTGCCTAAGTCAAGCAAGTTGTATGTCCACATGGAGTCGTCATATGTGTATTGCAACCCTACCTTTTGCTATAAATAGAGAAGTTAGGGTTTCACTTTATTCATTCTCTCATTATATGGAAGAATTCCCATATTTTTAGTAGCCAC